TATTGCCTCACTGTAGTGCAAAAACAATGAATACAGAGGTATATTTTCCCCTCACTGTAAAGGAAGCATTGGCAGTCTAAATGTCTGTGAACTCCGTTCACCAGCCACAGACAGCACCCTGAGCTATTCACACCAAAGGTTTTCTTTTAACATGCTCCTGGGTGTGTATCTGGCACAGTCAAAAGTATGTACACATCATTATTGATGGAAAACTACACAGGGTAAATCTGGGAGGCCATCCAACAGAGGATTCTGTGCAGGGCTTCTCCTCTGCACTTCAGTGCAAACTAGCATGCCCACATGACTAACTTACAGACAGAGATACAATTATTGCAAAAATCCTGTGTTTGCTGATGCATTCCTTCATTCCCTATATGCTTTATAGACACAGCATACCGATCTGAGAAAGTATAATATTTCTTTATGAAAAAAATGCCCAGTGACATTATCATTCACACGTTTTACTCAGAACTCAAGAGAATAACCCTTTATAGAGTAAAGCAATTTAAACATTTTAATCCTTAAGGTTTATGAACAGGTTTTAACACTATGGGCTCTTTGTAAAGAGTGCCACACTAAAGCAAATATAAACAAGACAGATTCTTGTTTAGAGTTAAAATGTATCTTTGTATGTAGACTTACAACTAAGCGCAAGAGAGCAGACGACCAGAGGTTCACATGTAGCCCAAAACAACCATTGACCTTTTTATTGGAAAACGCATACACTATCAATTGATGGGCTGGTGAAATACTACTGAAGATGCAGAAAACCTATTATTTATGACTACACCCAATTTTGCAGACTGACATAGTTATATGCAGCAGACTGAATATGACAAAGATGAGTATTTTCTACATACTACATTCTATCTATCTACGACTACCAAACCAAATATTCCTCCGTACACAAACCCTGCCTCATCAAAGAGTTGGCTAATGTCAAGGTAGCTTACCATTATTCAGTGAGCTAACAGATCAAACTAAGTATGACTCTAATAGGCACACATGAGATTTGGCAGCACTGCATAAACCTGCTCTGTTTACACTGAATATTCATGGCCCATTGAAATAAATTTAAATTATTTCTATCTCTGTTAATTGTCATTCTGGCATGAAGGTTGTGCTAAGCACAAAAAGGAGGGAGGAGGCAGCAGAGGTTGACTGCGGTAAAAGTGGAGGAGAGAGGATGTTTTGACTTAAAGGAATATAAAGTGGGAAAAACATAAATAAATAAAAATCACAATGTATCAAAGCAAATTCAAGACAATGCCAACAACGAAAAAGAACGACAACATATTCCTAACTCATCTGATATGAAGTGTGTATATACACCAGCATATGAGGCTCTCATTCATCACAGAGCCTCACCATGAGGTTCAGATAAGAAGCCGCAGAAATGTTTCCTCCTGATGCCGCTTTGTCAATGAATGATTGCCGTGGAAGGCAGGAGACATGGCAGACATGAAAGGCTATCGTAGCAAGGAATGGGAGGGAAAAAGTGCTTTTGATTTAGAATTCAGGCTGAGAATCCATCAAAATTTGCTCAACAGATGCATCTGTCAAACAGGTTGCAGCACAAAAAAGCAGACTGGATTATCTCTATATTCTCTTTATCTGTAGCAGGACACGGGATGTACATTTGTGTGCCAGTGGATAGGCATGAAAGCTTCTAAGGCAAACAGTAAATCTATATTCATTACTGAACCTGTCTGAATATCCTATGACTGCTAGAAAGCAAACAGGCCTTACTTCACCAAAAGAAACTTTTCCAAACTCAGATCGAACAACAGAAACTGGAGACAATATCAGGAACTGTATGAGTTTAATAGCGAGTGGAGTGGTCCTCAACAAATATTACTGCAGTCACATCATTAAATGATCAACACCTGTAATTTCCCAGCTTGAATATTATCTATCCAACTACATCTATCCATCTATCTTGTAACTGGAGTCACAATAGTTAAGTAACTTCTCCAACTATGGTTGGTAATCTTCACAAAACACCAGAAGTTAAAAGATTGTGAGTCTGGGACACTGGTTTTGGACAGATGGCAGAAGTGCACATGCCACACTTTCCACATCTTAGTAGAACACACATTAGGAAAACTTTGGACTTTCTGATCGACTCCCTGTGATGCTCACCCAGTGTGGAGCCACAAAAAACAAAGCCTTCTTTCTATTGGTAGCTAATTGGATGCGAGTCACCCATCTGCCACGGTCTAAACCTTTCATCTAAAGATGTCATTCAAGTTACCGAGTCATCCATAGCAGATGTCCAGGTTTTACTGACAATAGAGCAATTGTGTGAGTAGAAGAAAGTCTAAATCTGTCCACTTCAGCAGAATGAGCAACTATATTTGAGAAAAATGTTTATATTAAACATAGCTACAACCACATACTTCATGGTGAGGGCAATAGAAACAATGGAATGATGTGGGGGTGAGGGCAACTGATCAACATGTGCCAACATGTGCCATCTCTCTGCATCTGTATTCCCATGCCTTACTAGTCTGTCATGTGTGAAGGCAACTGACGCTTTTATTTAAGGATATCAACACCTCAGAAAATCCAACTGCAATACCACTGTTCAGCTCTAACAGTCTGACCATTTATATTCCCAAAATTTTGCCAAAACCCATGTTCCTTCGAGCAAAAAACCACAAAAGTGTTTTATCCAACTATTACAGTCTGGGTATTCCTTTATCATCTGGGAGTTGGTATTCAATGGCTTGTTTTTCAGCTCAAGAGATCATGACCCAAGAAGTTCCTGTTCTACATCTGTATCCCACTGGAAAAACATTCATGTGTAACATCAAATGTGAGCCAAACACAAAGACATTATGACATTACACTATGAGGAAAAGGAAGCAGGGACCAGTACCACATGGACACAGACAAAACACTAAGGAAAAATACTTAGGATTATTATCTTGCTGCAGATACATTTTACAGACAGAACTGGGTAATACTGGAGAATTTAATAAAATACTTTTAAAGAGTCTCTTGATTTGAGAATGGAAAACTCTCTTATGTGGTTTATAGCTAATGGGAATACTGTAATATGTGCAGTAGTTGTGTATTATGTAAACTAATAATACTAACTGTAGCTGTGTAGGTATTACACTACTGTATAACACACATTGGTTTCCTAAATTCTCAACTCAGAAACCCAGGTTTCTTTTACCACATAAAACAAAAAAATGATCTGCCATAAAATTTGGGTAATTTACCCTGTAAACCTATAAGAATTCTGTGTTAGTAAGAATTACATATTAAGATATATCCTGAACTGCCGTAGAAAAACAGACAACTTCACAATCATGGTCTTTGGATCTTGAGTTTAACCCACCAATTCCAGGAAACACAGCCAAGATACAACAAGATACCTGACTTTTTAACATTATTACAGATTCCTCTATTTCTGAGTTTTCTATACTGAAGAACAAATAAAAGTATGATAACGCAAAGATAAATAAAAAAAAAATCACCATAACCATGAGGTCATATTTTTCTGCTGTAGCCTTTTGCTTCCAATATAATTTGTGGTTTACAATAAAATGTTCTTTATTACTCATATGCAGCACTATAACTTTTGACCTTTAAGTTAATATTTTCCTCTCATGCCCTGTATTCTTCTCTTGCCTCTCTGTCACGAGATTCTGTGCTGTCTTCTTTCTAATAGGTGATGTTGAAGAAATATGTCACTCTTATTTCATTTTCACTTTATCTCTCTCCATCATAACTAGTGCAAAAGATAGCAGCACCTGCAGGTACTGGTGCCTTAAAGCAGTAAGATGGCTGGCAGACAGCCAACCTGGATAAAATTTCAGAATGCTACAGCTGCTGTAGCTGGAGAAGACATGAAATTAAACAGAGTTTTATGAAAGATATTTTAAAAAAGCCAAAGGTAAAACTATGTTTTGGTGCAAAGAACCTTGTGGTATACCATGTACTGCAAAATGCATGTAGAAGGAGGAACGCTGAGTGAAACAGTAATAAATTCAGAGCCACAGTCACTTTTTGACATGGAATCAGGTGATTATTTGAGAAATAAACATGGAAGATTATTAAATAGGATTTAACAAAAAAATTGAAAAAGTGTGAGATGATGAACATGAGAGGCTGTGAAAACAATTAACACGGATGAGCGCTGTGATGAAAAACCAGGCTGACAGAGCCACTAAAGCTTAAACAACAGTGGCTTCCTCACATACATTAAGTAAACACAAAGAGATGTGATTTAACTTGATAAAACGTCAGCCCTGATTAACCACGGCCATTTGCACAACCTGTGGCAGGACGGAAGATCGATACGACAAAGACCAACACTGTTAGATCTCACAGTACAATTTCACAGATATTACATCTAAATCACAGATCAAAAATAATCTTTTTATTAGCAGCAGCATCCAATAGAACTAGTAGTACTGTGTGTAAACAATTAAAACTACACAAGATGGCTGCAATGGTTTGGCAGAAGCACACCACATTTTTGATTCTGGTTTCCATTGCAAATTCAGATCTTGTAGAGAGATGATGGTCCAAATGTTACAGAGTTTTACCAAATAAAGAAGAAAAAAAAGCTTTTGTTTGTTCTGAACAAAAATATTTACTGCCGTGCTGCTCAGGACTACAGCAGTGTGCTTGTGTGTTCATCAGCGGTTGAAGCTGTCAGCTGTTAAATTTTGAGCAAAACTGTTTAACATAGGCTTCTAAATGTGACTTTAACATGAGTGGAAACACACATTGCCTGTGTAGAACAAGTAGCATATATCCCTTGAAAATAATTCCTGTTTTATAATACTATGTAGAAATCAAAAAGGGTAAATATCACATAATAATAAATAAAAAAACATGTAAGCAAGCCTTGTTGTAGTAAATAAAACAAAAATAAAGGCAGCTGCTCTTGCCCTTCAAAGGAGACTGAATGAGATGGGTCTGCCTGTCTGTGAATGTATAAGTGAGACGTGGAAACAGGTGTGTTCTTCCATCCTACTCACTGAGTCTCTTTGCTGCCTTCAGAGCCTCAGAAGCTGAGTCTGCCACATAGAAACGCTGGACAGCCACGCCGCTTTCTTGCATCAGTTTTTTGCTCTGGTACTCTTGCAGATTCAGCCATCTTCTGGGACTCACCGTGGTGCACTGTGGAAAAGGTGGCAGAGGATGAATGAGGCTGATTTCAGGTCAAAACACAGCTTTAACACAGGAGTAAGGGTTTTGCGTCTGCAGATGTCAATTTTGAAGGAATTATACATGACACAATGTTCTCCAAAATATTTGGATGCCTCACCCAGACAAAAAATGTTATTCTATTCTACTGTAATGAGTTTTAATCTAGATTTTTTGTATTACACACCAGGTAAAATGCCTTTGCTTCACGCATACATTATACTCGCAATTTCATTGTGTCTATATACTGTGTCTGTTTGTACACGATTTCTTTTAATAAAGACATTCTCCTAAAAATAAATTACATAAAAATAATGAAAATCAAAGTACACCCAAACTTTGAAAATTAGTCTGAGTACTTTTCCAGTTGGCATGGTCCAAGCAGCAAGAGAGCTTGTGAGCTGTCTGCTCCATTAGCAGACAAAAGCCCTGTCAGCCCCAACTATTGTTGCTGTATTAAATAGCTATTGGCTTTTTAATATGACAGAAGGGGAGGGAGAGAGAGAGAGAGGGAGGGAGGGAGAGAGACGCCGGCCATGCTTGACAACCTTTCAGCACCAGTACAAACCACTTGTATGTGTACGTAGAAGCATGCAAATGGTCTTGCAAAACAGATCTTCAGGGAGTCATTAAGAAAAAAAGGCCATTAAAGTGAAATGAAAACAAGGACTGCGTGCTAAAATTATAGCTCAGCGTGCATTGGTATATATATTTTCCTACCCAGTGAGAACTCAACTGACAAAATAACACTGCTATTACACTTTGTAATGTTACAGACAGTCTGATAAATTTGATTTCACAGCTACACAGTAAACAGAGGAGGGTCTGGAGCCCGTAATTGAGAAACCAAGAAGTCCAAGATGCATTTTTTTTAACATTTAGGTTAAAAGTGTCCAACAACGCTTCTGTAGTGAACAGAACTCCTGGGACTTTTATTTTTAGTTGTACTTTTCTGTTTGGTCAGCATAAGGCAAAGAATACGAAGGACATAGAGAACGTCCTAAACTGAGACATAATTATGTCATAAGATTTGGTTAAAACAAATCAGATGATTTATCTAGGCAGTGCTGTCGACTGCATGTAAGTCAGAAAAAAAAGTCATTATCATGATTAATTATAATTTAATAATAATAATAATATATTATAATAATATAATTTATTATAATTAATAATTCACTTTTATGCTGTATTTTGTGAGTAACTCAGATCCTTTACAAGATTTACAAGTATCAAAAAATATTACATTTTATGTATTACATACATTTTACCCTCTGTAGGTTGGGACTTGTTAGATACTGCTCGTGTGCACATTGACAAAATAAACAGCACAGTGTCATTAGTAGAAATGAATGGATGATGGATGAATGGAGCAAACTTTGCATATTTCCAAAACAAGTGCTATAGCTTATTGAGGGACCCGTGTGAGCTGGAGGTCTGCCTCCTGGCACTGACAGTAACCAACGGCAAAACGCAGGGGGAATGGAAAAGAACCTTGAGCATTTAAAGTTTGGCAACAGCTATATTCAGTAACACAAACTTTAACTTCGTTCTACAACATTCACTTTGTATATTCACTCGTATATAGTGCAGTGATTGCCAATCACTGTGATGTGGTGTGATGTGGCACAATAGTGTGTTGTGACAGATCATCAGGTGAACCAAGTAAATTTATTTATTATATTTGCTGTAACTAATTAGTCTACACCCGTCGATGCAACAGCAGAACAGCCATAATGATTGAATACTCGTTCATTAGGTGGCAGCAGATGGCTATAAAACTAAAAAAGGGATAAAATCAGATGTGTTGAAGATCTATGTGCCTTTCATTAATTTCTGTGAGTATATCAGCATTGTGTCCACCGAAACAGGCCCGAGTTTCACACTGATTAAGCAAATGGTGAGTTATTTGCAAGAAATTCGAGATCATGATACTGTATTTCATTACATATATATATAGGGATTCTTGTACGAGGAAGGGCATCTAGCAATAAAACCCAGTCAATACAAATAACAAAAAGAAACATAATTTTTTTAAAGTCAAAAGTACATTAATTGGCACTTAATGGGAAAAACAAAAGGAATTTTTGATGCATGCATTGTGATAATTACGTGGTGAACATGATAAATAGATTCATCATTAATTTAGATAACCTAGGTGTTTTAATGCTTTTTTTAACTGGTGAGAGACAGATGTTCAGTGAGTGATCCTGGGTGTGTTAAACCTGGATGCCACATGTGAAAGTTGAGAAATGACACTCAGTAGGTGGTTCAAACAACTTCTGTAAAATAAATATGTATAGTAAGTGTTCAAGTTTCCATTTTTCTTTCTATAAAGTAAAGGCATTGTAAAGCCAGTTAACACAGTTCTTCGTAAGATATGAGTCATTTAATTCTTGCATTAAATTCCCATGGTGTGGCTACTCATGGCCATAAAACAGTTGTCACTTCAACCTATTCAAAATAACACTTGAGGTTATTCATAATAGAGAAAAAAATTCACTGAAACGTCCAACTCCTGCATGTCTGCCCTAGAACAAAAAATTACATAGTGGATGCCAGTGAAGCATTGAGGAAGATAAGCCAGTAAACAGGCAGCTGGCCCCAAATCTCCGGAGACCTTCTCTCTACAGTAATTATCAGCAGCAGCACTCAAGAGACAACACTACTGACTTCTACCCAACTACAGCTCTGCCTACTTTAAACACGTGCATAAAACACAGTAAATAAAAAAGGAACTAATATATACCAGGCTGTGCTACACCCCTTGGTAAAAACAAAAACAAAAGTGTCCTCTACACTTAATAGCATTTAGTGTCTTTCTTGTAATGTATCCAAGACAAGTGGCACATGGTGATGAACAGCATCTTTCTGCCTCTATCTAAAGGGTCAACATTTACAGCATGTACATGTCTTTTTGCCATAGATCAGGGAAACATGCTCCGCTATTGTAGGTGGTCATAAAATGCAGCTAGGTTGCCTTTATTGCAAAAGAAGCCAATGCCGAAAGAAAGACGAAACCACGTTCAAGAAGAACTTGATCCATTCTGAGAGTTTTCCTTTAGCACCTCGAAAGCAGGTGTCTTGATATTCAATGAAAGATAATGAAATGTCAAGGAACTATTCTGAATTTGAGATTAAAAAAAAAAAATTGATCCTTTTGGGATCAAGTCTAAAAATGTCCTACACTAAATAAGTTTGAAGTTGGAAACTTCAAGTTTTGATCAAAGTTTCAGGTGTGAAATAATCACTCAGAGAAAAAATTGGAATATCAAATCCATCAGAATTTCAAAAGGCTTTTTCCTTGTGTGGTTTGATGCTATTTTCAGAAAACATTTGATGCAGGAATTAATAAGCATCGGTGCAGAGCCAAGCAGTGTCATTTGTTGTGGCAAACATAATTGTAATGACTTAAAATAAAATTTCCAAATCATTTTTTGTGCTCTGATTCAGTCAATTCTCAAGACACTTAATATCCTGATCAAAGAGACGTTTTTGTATCAATGTCTCAAAAACCTCTTACTGACTTCTTCACTAAGTAAAAATGATAAGAAAATGAAAGAATACTAATTTTAGCACCATCTTGCTGGCTTCTAGAAAATATGATATAATATAAAACAGAAATATATTTTTAGTAATTACGTCAATTACGTGGTGTAAATAACTCTCTAAATCTGGAAAAATTTTGATTTTGATTGCTGTTTTGCTGGCTTGTTTTGCCATTGTTCAAACGTTAAGAGAAACAACTGAACCTTCGAGTACAGATTATGTATGCAGTAATCATTGCCAATATATTGACAAAGCGAACAAAAGCCTAACGCAAACATTCACATGCTGAATAAACAATGTGACCATACGGTCACTTTCTTCAGAAAGCACTCAGAACAGGGCTGCAGTCACACAAAGGCACAAAGAAGACAGAAGTGCAATTGCAGCAGCTGCATCAGGTCACTATGACTTTGTCTTTGTAACACTGAAGGATGAGTGCCACTTGTGGTATAGCTGACAATACTTCAGAACTTTTTTTAGGTTGTGCCATATGGTAGACAGCACAACATCATACAACATCAGGACCCAGGCCATCTAATGCCAAGTCCTGGCTTAGCCTGAGAGCTCAATTCTCAATGTCAAACCACTCTTTTTAATTTAAAAAGATAAGAAATACAGCGTCATCATACTGAAAGGATTTTTGCAAAGTAATATTAAGACATGTCACATTCACACCATTTCCCCGTAGGTCAATATCCCAAGGTTAATTTGAAGCTGTTGTCTTTATCACTTTGAAAAAGAGCAGAAACAATGTCAAAAAGTCAACATCTGACAGAGTTGCTCTGGCTCGCCTTGGAAAATTTATTAGAGACATAAGCATCAATTTATAGTGGAAGGTTACAAAGCAGGCAATCACCACTGATGAGGCCCATAAACAGACGACAGTCAAAGTTGTGCAGCACATCAATCTGCTGTTCAAAAATTCAAAGGTTTAAAATTGCAGAATAAAAAGCAGGCAATCCTTTACTTTGATGAAAGCCATGCCACTGTCAAGAATTACAAGATTTTTTGATTGTATTCTACAAGTTTTAGTGCCAACTAAAAGTTGTCACTAATCACAGGCTTAGAATCTTCCTCAGTATATCAATATTTAGGGTTTAGAATATAATCCAGCCTATGATTTCCAATCCAGTCTGTCACAACTGCCAAGATTTTCATCAGTACTACAAATGTCCTAAAGACAGTACTAGCTATAAAAGTACTAGCTAAGGCTCTTAAATACAGGGAACTGAACATGAACTGAGCATTGGACCTTTGGTCAAGAATTGCCTCTAAATTTTCTTTTATTCATTTTTTCAGCTAATATGTTTTGGGCTAAAACTGTGTTGACCTGAAAAACTCTGGATTGCTTATGATGAATATGCTGCACAGCAAAGCATTTTTGCTAACACTGCAATCACAGGCACAGCTTAAGCACCAGTGGTAAA